TTTTAGTAACAATGAACTGGTGAACATATCTATGAGTTAAGTAGAAGTTTGAAAACAGTTTCTGAATGAGGATATTACTTTAGAACTATTGAAAAACTTTTTCCTTCTTCTCAAATATAATATAGTGAAAGAATAGATCTACTTACGTGAAAATACTTGATGCATTGTTATTTCATCTCCTCAGTTAACCAGGTGAAAACAGTTATTTAACGACTGCAATGGATGGAGGTCGCGCAATATTGTGAGCTGGTATAAGTAGGAAACTACGGACCATTAGACTCTAACCAAGTAGTTCAGTGGTAATGTTCTGGTCACGAAACCTGTAAGTCTTGGGCTCGATCCCTGGCAGAGGGTCATGTGTGCGTAGTACCTAGGAGTCCCACATTAGGACAAACCACCAGTCCAATGCTCCCATTTGAGGATGAATACCAGCTTGAAATCAATAAATAAATCTTCATAAACCTCCTAAATAAAATACAAGCGGTATGATAAAAAGTTAGGGTCCATAGCGGCTGGACCAAGTTATAGTACTAGTTCATGAAGTCCCTAAATGTTAGTCTGAGTCCTATAGGAATATGTAGACGATAGAAATTAGTGTTTGAGGACTTTTGATAAAATAGCTGAAAATTGGTAACGGTGGCTGAGATGCAATCACTCCTTGACATCTACTGAAAGCTTGAATATTGACATTAACCTTTATCTTCAGATTGCTTATTCTCTAACACAACGTTGTCTTGTCTGATATCACTCATTTTCTCTCCACCTGTTCTTTGTACACTACTGTGAAGTGTGACAAGTTGAATTGATGTACTTTTGTGCGAGGTTTTCTGCTTATTGTGTCTATTTGTCTATCTGTCTGTCGTCGGTGTTCTATGTCCCACATACACTTAAGGTCACTCTTATTATTTCTACGATGTTTTAAGTTAGATTACAAACAAAGAACTTTTTGTACATGAAAGCACTGAACATATGTATAGCATGCGAACATTACAAAGGAGTAGAAGCTGAGTTTTCTTTCTAAATATTTCAAAAAACAATTGTTTTTATTTATAAGTTATATATTATTGATGAATAGTGACTAGTAAGGGAATCCAAGACAAGCGTTTCGATACATTTGGGACTCATTGGCTTGTTAGTACAAGCAACACCATTAACAATTAAGTTAGATTGTAGTTAGAGACAGTTGCGGTAAAAATCCATGAAATTTAATACAAGGGACATGAAAACAATCTATAGTTCAAACTTTACTAACAACATAGGGAAAAATATTCTGAAAGAAAATTTGGATCCATAGTATAATGATAAAATGTTGGGAATGTTAACTTACTTTTTATTAGATTCACCTATTTCGGTAGATACATTTCTGTCAGTCAACCTCAACTCTTAAGAAAAATCTGTCTAAATTGAATCTATTCAGATAAACTATTTATCAATTCTACTTCAAACAGAGGAAATGATCTAGTATAATTGTTTTTATATCATATCATCGTTGATTAGACCGAATTGATCGTCTCTGTTTGGCATATGCGTACCTGTGTTATTATTATTATTATTAGTCCCTTGGGTTCCTAGTGGAACATAGGGCTTCAGTAGCACGCCTCCAGTGACCTCTGTTCTCTGAGATCTTTTGAACCTGGTTCCACGACAGCCCACAACCTCTCATTTCCTCCTCGCACGACCTCCTCCATGTCACCCTCGGACGTCCAACTCGTCGCTTCCCATGGGGATTCCACTCGAGCGACTGGCCTGACGCGTGATATCCTCAGTCGGCCTTCTCAGTGCATGGCCAATCCATCTCCACTTCTTCCTGCATATTTGTTGCGTGATAGGTTCTTGGTTGGTTCGTTCCCAGAGCTCCTTGTTGCTTATTCTTTCTGGCAATCCATCTGATCTTCAGTAACGAGTCAGCGTAAGCAGTTGTTGGTGAATGTCTGTAGTTTATTGGAAATGCCTTTCGTGACGCACCAAGTCTCTGAGCCATACAAGAGCACTGACTTGACTGAGTTGGTGTTGAAAATCCGTATCTTGTTCCATATGCTGAGTGCAGAAGATGTCCACACTGGTTTCAGGCTAATGAACGCCTGTCTTGCTTTTCTGATTCTGACTTTGACGTCCTCGTCCGTCCCGCCTGTAGCTGAAACAGTGCTTGCTAGATAAGTGAAGGAGGTTACTTCCTTTAAGTTTCTCCCGTTGACGGTGTTTGGAGTTTGTTGTTGTTGATGGTGGTGGTGCGGTATCTTCATCACTTCTGTCTTCTCTATATTCACCTGAAGTCCCGTCTTCGCTGCCTCTTCTATCAACTTGTTAGTTTTTGCCTGCAGATCTTCAAGTTTATATGACATTAGGCACAAGTCATCGGCGAAATCCAAGTCTTCTAGGTTCTTTTCCGTCGTCCAGCGTATCCCCCTCTTCTCGCTGCCTACTGTTTGCTGCATGATCCAGTCTACCACAATAAGGAATATCATGGATGATAGTAGACAACCTTGTTTCACTCCTGTCTTCACTTCAAAAGCATCACTGAGCTTCCCATTGTGAATTACTTGGCATGTGGCATCTTCATATAGTTGTTGAATGAGGCGGATAAAGGTTTGCGGTACTCCGTAGTATTGAAGCAGTTTCCAAATTACTTCTCGGTCGACGCTGTCAAAGGCCTTCTCAAAGTCGATGAAGTTGAGGCAGAGAGCTGATTGCCATTCTATGCTCTGTTCTATGATGATGCGTAGAGTGGAGTTGCAATTTGGTCTGCACATGATTTGTACTTCCTGAAGCCTGCCTGTTCCGGTCGCAGTTTTGAATCCAGTGCATCTTTAAGCCTCTCCAGGATGATGCGCGCACCTGTGTGGATGCTTCAATATTGCCATCGTTCTAATTACATTAATGATGGATCGTGGCAGTCGAATCCAGGATGCGCATTTCGTCCCATTTGGGACTCGTCAGCTGGATTCGTCGAATGGATTCCATTGTTAGCCACGATCCATCATTAATAGAGGAACTGATCGTCTAGTAGTGAGTTCGCTCTAATCTATCTAACGAAATCTCCATAGCAGTTTGTGCGCTTTTCAAAGTAATCATATTGCTAAGTAGTATGTCGTGAAGTTTATACATCTTTATGTGATTTAGATAGATATTTAAAATATTGTTCGCTTTCTTACTATTCTTATTTATAAATCGAAATGTGTAAACAACAGTGTCCTATAGTTATTCGATTGGTTTGTCATCTTGATGCAGAGTAGCGGAACTTTCTAGAAGAAGATTTGAACATAACTTTCCACCAATGAATCATTGAAAACAAGGGATCACCGGTTTTCTGTCGTTACTGAGTTATTGATTTCATTTTAAAATGGAAATTATTTCCCTTCAAACCACTAAATTCAAGGAAAATTATGGAGAAGTGTGAATTCTGTGTAAGAAATAACCACGAAGTATTCATATGTAATTATTTTAAATCTTCGAACGTTTATGAACACTTCCAAGTCAACGATAATACTTTCATCTACGGTAAGAAGTATTGAAAATAATCACAGATTCCTAAGAATATCCCATCGGAACTGAAAAATTATCTCGAACAAAGAATAAAAGCTGAAATAAGCCTCCTAAAAAAAAGAATAATGGGAAGTGACTGTAACTATATCAAAAGATAGTTATTGATAAGCACACTTACTTTGTGAACATTATAAGAGGTAAGAGTCACTCGGTTTATCACTAGCTTCAATCCTAATGCTTTCATTTCACCTTCAATCATTACCTCGAGATCATAAGCACTAGTCTGGTATCTCAGATAACTTCAGTAATAATCGATCCATCACGAATACACTATTAAAGTCTCTTAGACCTGGATTTGAATAATAAGACCTGGTTAGGCCACTATGGTGATTTATGGCAAACAAATACCAAGGTGTAATGCACTTACATGATTTTCACTGGAAATTATTAGTGGCTAACGGCTGGACTTCGAAACTTACCCAGTAGCCTACAGGTTGTTGGCTAGAAAAACTGACGCAACTTGGGTTTTCATGTCACTCGTATCGTATTCATCTTGTAGTTTGCTACAGTTTGTTATTACTCCATACTGACAGAGACGACGTGAGAAGCTACTGATCACAAGTTACACATTGAACTACTCTTACCGATGCTAAGAGTATATCTTCCATTGTCATTTTATTCAAAGTTTTGTTTACGTTACACAGTTTAAGAAACCCTGTTTATGCTGTGATGCAATACAATAATACTAAAATTTGATTGGTCAATAGATTACATCTTTAACAATAATGATAAATCTTATTTGATGTCTACGAAAAAGAATAATAACTAGTCATTGAGTTCAAGATAAACGAAAAAGAATATTTTAATTTTATAACTAGGACAGTTAAACAGATGGACTGACGAAAGGATTACGTATATTTGAGTCGCGAAAATGTTTTTGAGATATAAGCATATAGTAGTAAAGACAAAATTCCTCTAAAAAAATCTTTTATGAAGAGACATATGGTAGGATTTGAATTGGTTGGACAACCTTAATAAATTTGATGTCAGGTGGTAATTTAAAGTTGGATAGCTGTAAGATTTGTAACAGCAGTCTTCGAGTTAACAGCTCAGTACTCTACCAATTAAGCCGACAAAATTTCAACTGAAGTCACCAACTGCCGTGTTTAATCTGTGATACCTAACTTTCCACTCATTGGACTCCAACTGGATGCCCAACCAGCAACTGGGTCTCATACTTCAGTTAGTAGAGTATTGGTCCAGTAGACTACACACCATTGGTTTGAATCCTGGCTAGAAACAGGTCTACATTTCACTTTCAATCATTATGTAGTATAAATAAAACTGGTTCGCCAAACCATAAACTTATCTCCTACGTTATAAATATGTCACCCTTCTCTAAGAAGACATTTAGAAACTTATAACGAATATTGTTACTTTTACAAAGTACCAATACTGAAAGCGTATATAGATTTATACTGTCGGTCAATAATTGGAAATAACTTGTTAGAAACTAATCAGTCAATCAGTCAATATCAGCATAGGACCAGGCATTACTACGTAACGGTCAGAGTTGCCACACCTCACGTCACTTCATCAAGTAGAAAGATAGTGAGGTGAAGCATGAAGATAAGAGAATGAAGACAAAAGAAATATTAAGTACGAGAAGAAAGGAAAGAGGAGACATAAAATTGTGAGGTCCGGTATAGCGTCGTTAAGATGAGGATAATGTGTGTGGGGATACATCTGCGCCACTGACATCGGTTCTGACCCATATCACCTAGACTCTCCAACCACTGGTTCCTCTTGTCCCACACACCCCAACCACCTAGTCTGCATCGCCCCATATGGCTCATACCAACAAACAGAGACTTCATACGTTGATGCCATGTTTTAGTCTGGCCACCTCGAGCCACTTTCCAGCCTGGGCCTACTTCGGCCAACATTGTATGACGAGGCAATTGGTGACTGGGCATACGTAGTACGTGTCCCAACCATTTCAGTCGATTAAGGTTTATAACCTCGTCAACTGACTTACCTCTTCTCCCCAAAACTCTACTCCTGACTTCTGCATTACTCACGAAGACTGGGATAATCAGTGACTTAGACCAGTCGGAGGGGATCGTATTTGATTCCCATATACTAGCTAACACTTCTGTTAACCTGACTAAGAGCACTCTACCACCATCTGGTGCTGCTGCCCTTCCTCGTTTCAGGTTACCTACCGCTTTCTCAACTTCTTCTAGTGTTGGGGGGCCTATCTCTATGTCCCATTCAGGATACGACTGGATAGCGGGCAGCGCAATCGTGGCTGGAGGCCAGTTAAACTGTTCCTCGAAGTGTCCTGCCCATCGTTTCAGTCGTCTCCCCTGCGAGTGAATCGCAGATCCGTCCTTCTCCGCTACAGCCTCACTAACTGTTGTTGATCTTTTCCCCCCAGTCTCCTTAATAAGTCTAAATAACTGTCTACTATTACCGATCGCCACTGCCTTTTTCATCTCTTTAGCCTTCTCTGTCCACCACTGTTCGCGATCGTTGCGCAGACTTTTCATCAGTCTACTTTTAAGTTGCGCTCGCTCTTCATTGTACTCACAGCCTGCAGGGAGGTGTTCACGTGCATCCATTAGTTCGGAAGAAGCTGCTGATGTCCACTGGCTCTTTTTAGCCACTATTTTGGTTCGAAACTAATGGAAGATTATGGACATTTGGTATACATTACGTAATAGTGTACTTCCTTGACATTTCCTATATGTCAATAACATTATTGAAATCCATTATGATGTCAAAAAAATATTCTTTAAAAAAAGTTTGTATCCATTTTTTTTCTTAGGTTTTAACACTACATATATCCAGACGTTAGCTTTATGAATTTAAAACAATCCCAAAGTTTCTTTATATTTTTGTTCTTAATATTGGACAGTTCTTTGTTTATTAGCAATAAGCACTTTTGCATTGGATGTGTAATTTCCTGTTTTGGTATGATTCATCCTCATATTAACTAAGAGAGAAACTTTTAGGTGAAAAACACTACTGATTCATATACTAACAATTATTTTTCGCTAGAATTAAGCATAGAGTTAATTAAATTTTAATATATTTAGGAAACTTCATACTCTAAGAGATTTTTTATCGAAAAAGGATGTGACTAAATGTACACTTGAATAGTACATGAAATGCTACTACAAGACCTTTAAAAATGGAGAAGCATCAAGAAAAATAGTTGATTCACTAAAATGTTCTTAATGGTTTATCATTCATATGATTGCTTTTTAGAGGGTCAGTAACCCAACCCTGGCCATCTAACTATTGTGGTTGTCAGTACTTGTCCATAAAGTCTATCAATGACTACAATGATCTGTTTCACTTTACGGGTTCCAAATCATTTCAGCTAGAATATGTATGCGAAAGACATTATCACTAATCAAAGTAGGCCACGATTAACCCTCCTACAAAACAGTATAATGTAAGTGACTATTTAAGCATCGATTAGTATACTACTTCAATGAGCTTTAAGTAGTTTTGTAGACTGTTTCCAAATATTTACAAAGTAGTAGAGTTGACCAAAGATTTTGAAACAGAAAGGTTAGAAAATATATGCTAAGCCAAAGGCTGTATGAAATAACTAGTGATGAAAAATGCAACAAGACTGTAACCACGGTGTTTCGTTAAATTGTAACACTATTTGTTCTAGATGTTGCCTTTCGTCCCCCAGTACCAGTTAGTCATCTTGCAAACCAATCAAATTTCATACAGAAGGCCTCTTTGCATTAAAAAATAAACACTGATTACTGGGAAACAATCAATTCCATGTTTTTCTACCTTAGAGGTTGACCGAATTCTAACGATTGTTTTCAAATGCGTCCATGAATGTAAGAGACTCATCATCGTGGTACATTCTTGATGGATGTTAGTTGGCTGAAATCCAAGGTTGAAGCCTTAGACCTCATTTTTGTGCTTGCTGATGAATGCAAGAAAATACCAAACCTGAGTTCAGGGTTTACCGCCGATTACCTTCAACCATAGATTAACATATGTTACAGTGATTTAAGTGCAACTAGGGAAACATTGAAGAATACAGTTGGAGAGGTTTATTTTAAACTTAATGGGCATAAAAAATTACCAGAAGAACAAAACCCGAGATAAGTAGATAAAAAGAGGTAACTTAAGACCGTATTCATCACCAGACAGCACCAGATAAAACGAGAATAAGAACATAAAACTGTTCAGGGCTTTGAAGAGTTTGATTTGACAGTAATTTTCACCAAGCAGTGAAATCAGCTGCAGAATTGCTGAAAATTTAGAGTGCTACACATCTGTTTCGTCCTATTTTGGACTTGTCGACAAATACACCAACAACTTCAAAACGAACCAAACCTTAGACCTTGAGGCTTCACCGCTCGCATGTTACCAATCAAGCAATAGACTGGAGTTCAAAAGATCAGTTTTACCTAATTCTGTCATATTGTGATACAGAGCCACTATCCCCAATATCATCGGTTATCATTCATCGTGACTTTGTTAAACACAAAGTTACGGCTCATTATTATTTCTTAGGAAATTCCCAACAAAGTAAGTCAATAATGAACGCTAGATTGTAACTCAATAAAGACTTTTGAGACGATTGACTGATTTGAAATCTATCCTGAGCTGAATCCATCATGGGGTCATGCATATGCACCACTGAAGAGTAACAAACTAGGATGAAACAGATGCTGAGAAATTTCAGGTTTCCAATGATTTTCCAACTGACACGAATTCATGATGAAAACTACCTTCAAAATTCTATAGTGTGATCCGAAAAGAATGCAGAAATATCAAGGAGTAGACATCACATATACGAGTTAACTGTCTGTAAATTTAGTTCAGTTAACAGAATCAGCATACGTTAAAACCTAAGCTTAAGCCTTTTTTTTATGATCAACTGACATGGTTGGAACAGAAGGAATCTCCTGAAATACTTTAAAAACACAAGAGAAATGTGATTACATTGGTATGATTATGAGCAATAATTTATGCTCGAATATATATATCACTGTGCGCTATATATCAAATAAACAAATCTAATATGGAATTACATTCTACCACAGTGTCCAAGTTTTTCACTTATAACACATAATAAAACCCGAAAAATATCAATATCCAGAACCCGTACTGTAACACTGTTTAAAGACCTTCTGGTATTGATTACTAGCTAAAGCTTTTACTTAACATTTTAAGAACCATAAGAGTTCATGCATATAGCACAAAGCTTGAATAGCTTTTAACACGTAGAAATTTGTTTCTAGCACACTGGCCGTTCCTAACTTTACAAATTTAGAAGAATAATTTCAACTACTCGTGAGTACCAGATGCTAAAATACTAAAATATATGTTAGGGCGAAATGGAACAAATATGCAGTATAATTACATTACAGAGTCATGTTAATACTCCTCTAACGAACAACAAGCTGAAACTTTATAGACCAGATTTATTCTACTATCCCCCTGAACAACTCAAATTTCAGGTAACTGAGAACGTCAGTGAAAACGTTGATATCTTCATCAGTATAACTATCTCATAAACGAATTTGTTTACAGCGACGTCATTTTCAGAATATGAACAATTGGACCAAAATGTATTTAGTGTGAATATCTAATGGTAACGTTCATTAATACACCACTATGCTGACTGTAAACCATGAGGAACACTTATTTAGACAAAGTTCATGCACTCACAATTATATGTTCATATAAAATTATATCCAAATAAGATTATACAGTTTTCAAGAATGATGTCACGGAAAATGAACTTGTTAACCGAAGTATTAATTGTTTACTTAATAGGAATACTTATTTTTTACAAGTAAGTTCAACAGCTGGTCAGTACTGCCTTAATGTCAGAAGACATATTCTGAAGTAGTTCTACATATGAATTATCAAAGGTTTTCATAATCTGGAAACTTACATCAGTAACATCACAAAGTTAACTTCAAAGTTATGCTACTTTTGCGAAACGAAGTCATGAGTAATCATTAGTAAATTCAAATATGGTTACAATTCGCACAGCCCTTCAATTTGCATTAGCCTCTAAATTGAATAACTTCATTACTTCTAATTATTTCATTACTATCACTCTCAATACGGTTGTTTATTTCTCTGCGTTCCTTGAAACCTTCAAGTAAACAGTTAACTGTCACACTTTGCACCAAGAGACTGCTAGCATCTTGTCTAATTGTATACTACTCATACTACTGGATCATCTTCCCTCTTCTTTATAACCGAATGAGCCTAGCTTACTGTTCAACCACAGAATATGAAATCATGAGAATAATTCTGCATTTTATCAGGATACACGTATTCTTAAAGCTTGTGAAATGCTACCTCAGTTGCAGCATCAAATTCATCTCAAAAGATAAAGTTTTCATGGAGTAATTTTCTAAGAAAAAAAAGCGAGTGGGAAATAATAAAACGGTGCGACACCAAAACTACCCATGATGCATTATTTATTCCGAAGAAAAAACCAAGTACTTTACCCAAGAAATTCTTTTCGAGGGTTTCATTCTCAGAGCTGTAAAATCAAAACTGTTTGTCACTATATTTAACTGTCAAATACGGCGTATTGGATACCAACAATAATCTTTTGCTTGAAGTACACGGTCACAAGAACAATAAATTGTTATAGGTATAAAGTACTAAACATTCTAGAATTATTGGAAGTTCTCAAGATTTTATCCGAAATTACTAGCTCAATATGGACAGTAGTATGGACGTAGTGAAGTAGGTGCAGATTGGATTGTTATAAAAAAATTCAGAAAAGCCAAGAGCTGATATTACGTAAAAAGTCAAAAATATGGAAGAAGGGACAGTTTAAAACACTAAAAACATGATTTGAACAAGTTCCTTCCGTATACCAAACTTCAGATCTTCTGTAAATTTTAGAAATGTAAATAAGTCTGAAGTACGCCAACACATAGGCTAACAAAATAAACAAATAACCTCGCACAAAAGTTCATCGGCTCAGGTCGCCACACTCCACAATAGTACACGACGAAAAGGTGTGGAAAAGATGAGTGATATCAATGAAGATAAAGTAGAATGAGAGAATAAACAACCTGAAGATAAAGGCTAGTGAGAATTATTATAATTCGTCCCATGGGTTACTGGTGGAATGCGGGGATTCAGTAGCGCAATGCCCTCTCACTCTCTTCTCTGCAGTCTTTCAACCTGGCTCCACAACTGCCCACAAGCTTTTATTTCTTCCTAACACCAGCTCCACCATGTCACCCTCGCCTCCAATGACCAACTCGTCGTTTACAATGCGGGTCACACTCAACAGCCTGGTGTATGATGTCCACATCGGTCTTCTCAGTGTATGCCCAATCCATCTCCACCTCCACTTTCTTATGCATATCTTCGGCTGATGGGTTCTTGCTTCATTAATTCATTACCAGCAACCCACCCACCAACACACCCAGCCAGCCAGCCAGCCAGAGTTACTCCTTGCTTATTTCTTATCATTCTCGCCATCTGATCTGATCCTCAGCATCGACCAACAGCAGGCAGCAGCTATTGACAAATGTCTGTAGTTTGTTGAAAATGCTTTTCGTGACGCACCAAGTCTCTCAAACATATAGAAGAAATGACTTGATATTCGTGGTGAAAATCCGGATCTTGTTCACGCTTTAAGCTGAGTGCAGTCCAGTCCAGTCCAGTGCAGCACAGCACAGTAGACCTCTACACTGATTTCAGGTTAATGCAGGAAGGCCTGTCTTCCGTCTTTCGATCATGACTGGATTTGACGTCCTCATCTGTTCCTGTGCCGCCTGTAGTTGAAAAATGCTGCCTACGTAGGTAGGCCAAACAGACTACTTCCTCTACATTTCGCCCGTTCATAGTAATTGGTGCTTTTTCTTGTCCTTATTGTTGTCGGTTTGGTATCTTCATCACCTCTGTCTTCTCTACGTTCACCTGAAGAAAGTCCCGTCTTCGCTGCCCCGCCTCTCCTACCTACCTGTTAGCAGTCCACGCCTGTACATCTTCCAGTTTGTGCGACAAGACATAAAACAGCAATCGCCATCGCCGAAATCCAAATCTTCTAGGCTCTTTTCATCCGTCAGACAGTCTATGCCCATCTTCTCACAGCTCCACACAGTTGTCTGCTGCATGACCAGTTCAACACAATCAGCAAGGTCATCGATGATAGTAGGTGGCAGCCTTGTCCTGTCTTACTCCTGTCTCTTGTCTTCACTTCAAAGACATCACTGAGCTTTCCATTGAGCTGTTAACCACTTGGCATATAGCATGCAGCATCATACAGTATATAACTGTTGAATGAGGTTGATAAAGGTTTCTGACACTAAAACCATAGTGTTGAAGCAGTCTTCAAATTACTTCCCAGTCGACGCTATCGAATGCCTTTTCAAAGTCGATGAAGTCGAGGTACAGATCCAGTTGACTGCTATCCTATGATCTGTCCTATGATGATGCTCAGCGTAGCGTTGCAATTGATCTCCACATAATTTGTTCGTTCTCAAGTCGTTATTTCGAATCAAGATCACCTTTTAATCTCTCCAGGATGATGGGATTTAATGCTTTGCTTGGAGTAGACAGGAGCATGATTCCATGCCAGTTCTTTCAAATACTTACGTCCCCCTTCTTTGCAAAGCTGACAATCAATCTGCAGGTACTTTTCCATCCTTCCTTCCTTCCCTTCTTCCAAATTTTCTGCACAAGCGGTATGAGCATGTCCGCTGTTGTCTCTGCGTCAGCGTTACGGTGTCCGTTTTTAGTACTTCGCGAGGAATTCCATCTGGTCCTCCTGCTTTCCCGGATTTCAGTAACTTTATCGCATTCAAGACTTCACGTCTGCTTTCACCGGAGTGCTTGTGTTCACTCGTAGTTGTATGGCTGCGCTGCTGGTGGTATTTCTCGACGAGTTGCACGTGGTGGTGGTGGTGGTGGTCGATTCAAGAGTTTTCTGAAGTGGTCACCCCCATCGTCTCCCTCGTTTCTACTCTTCAGCGGTAACTAAGTTCCCTTCACTATCTCTCACTGCTTTCATCTCTCTTGATCTCTTCCCTCCCAGATAGTAACCTGGTCATTTGATATAGTATTGTCAGGTCTCCGTCCCTCCTATATGCGGCCTGTTCTGCTTCACTTACCAGTGTGTCATAGGAGTGTCTTTTGTCTATGCACGCACTCTTCTTCACCTCTCTGTCCAGTGTAGTGTTTCATAGGTTGTATTCAGTCCCTCTCTTCGTTGTTAATCTCCGCACAGCACTGCACTGCACTGCACTGCACTGCACTGGTTCATCTTCTGTTTCACCATCTTCCTCTCCCTTCTCTATCAGCTTCCATATGTCCGTCGAATCCATTCTTTGTCTGGCCTCTCCTTCCTTCCGAATACGGTTTGCAGGTTCCTTTTCACGTCTCTTTCAAAGAGTTCCAGTATTCTTCTATGCAGGTCTCTCCACGGAAGTTGCCTTCTGCCTCCCATTTTTTCCTGATGGTCGACGTGAAGATGTCCTTTGTAGTTTTGTCCTTCACTTTCTGTCATGGTGTTCAACTTGAACTGTGGTCTAACACCAACTTCTTTCAACTTGATTTCAAAGGTAGGTTCCTTGCATTAGATTGTGAGTGATGTGAACCTACACCTGCTCTCCTTCTTCATATGCTCTTGTGTCCAGTAGGCTGGCTCCATCTCCACTTTCTTCACATTCAAATGAAGTCGATCTGATTCTTAGTGCGGTCTGTCCTCGTATCTGGTGAAATCAAATCATGTCGCTGCCTTGTGAACATCTTTGTGTTTGTACACACTGCTTCGCCTCCAATCACAAAATCATTGAATGCGCAGAATCATGCAAACAGTTCTTTCTCCCTTCTCATTCATCAACCCACCGACTGCTTCTCAACAGATGATGACTTCTCTTCCTGTGTTGTCTGCTTCCAGTTTGGCATTTATGTCACCACATCCATTAGAATTTTGATGTCGTCATCTGGGGTGGGTCTTGTCCATTACTGATTGCAGTTGTCTGTAGAATCCCTCCTTCTTATCTTCATCTGCATTATTTGTAGGTGCGTGGCGTACCATTGTATGACTGACTCTCCTTCCTTTTGACTTGAACCTTGCTGTCATGATTCTGATCCTGCAGGAGGAGACTGATCCCACTGCATGAGAACCTTTGATGGTCTGGCGGACATCATGATGGTCACTTCATAACTCAGTAAGTTGGTAATAAGCCTTAATAGTTGCCGAGTGTTACCCACCGCTGATGTCTTCTCCATCTCTCAATCAATATCAACATAGGACCAGGCATTACTACGTAACGGTCAGAGTTGCCACACCTCACGTCACTTCATCAAGTAGAAAGATAGTGAGGTGAAGCATGAAGATAAGAGAATGAAGACAAAAGAAATATTAAGTACGAGAAGAAAGGAAAGAGGAGACATAAAATTGTGAGGTCCGGTATAGCGTCGTTAAGATGAGGATAATGTGTGTGGGGATACATCTGCGCCACTGACATCGGTTCTGACCCATATCACCTAGACTCTCCAACCACTGGTTCCTCTTGTCCCACACACCCCAACCACCTAGTCTGCATCGCCCCATATGGCTCATACCAACAAACAGAGACTTCATACGTTGATGCCATGTTTTAGTCTGGCCACCTCGAGCCACTTTCCAGCCTGGGCCTACTTCGGCCAACATTGTATGACGAGGCAATTGGTGACTGGGCATACGTAGTACGTGTCTCAACCACCTCAGTCGATTAAGGTTGATAACCTTGCCAACTGATTTACCTCTACTCCTGACTTCTGCATTACTCACGTGGTGACACCACGGAATACGACCTATACTACGAAGGCAACGGTGGTCAAACACTTGAAGTTTTCTCATATCTTCCACTTTCAATGGCCATGTTTCACAGCCACACAGGAGAACACACCAGACTGGTGTGCAGTACACGCGACCCTTAATAGACAAACGGATATCCCGGCGGCGCCATAGATGGCTCAAATTGACAGAAGTCAATCGAGCCTTTTGTATCTGAGTGTGTTTGGCGTGCATTTTGCTCCCGTCAAATGTGAGAGGTGGCTCAGATGTGGGGCTACATCGAGATTAAGCAAAGATAGTGGAGTTATGGAGTGCATCGACAACTCCAGTCACTTCGGGGACTTGCATCAGCTCGAACGAGCAAGCTACTGACAAAATCAAAGTTCGAGTGCAGATGGACATTTTAACATTCGCCAACTTGGGTCCTCTGTGGCATCGTCAAGATACCCGAACACTTGTTAAATGACGAGCATGTTGTGCTGCTGATTGCTCTGTCCTGTCATACAGCTATGAAACATGGCCATTGAAGTAGACGTGAAGAAATCACAGGTTTTCGACTACATGTGCATTCATTCCGTTGATCATGTATGGCGGAATCACCATATGGGCAATACTGACAATAGAGGTGTACGAGGCGAGACACGGAAGCCAGTTGATGAGGTTGTAAACCTTTACTGACTGGGGTAGCTTAGATATATGTTGTTCATAAGCAGCCGCTGGCTCTGTCGACGTGCACTGTTAGCTAAAGTAGGATTGGTCTGGAAGAAGGCTCAAGGTGGTCAAACCGAAGCGTGGTACCATTCCATGAAGTCCCTGACTGTTGAACCTTGCCGCATATGGAGGTGTAGACTACTTGGCTATGATCTTCGGAATGATAGGAATCAATAGTTGGAGAACTTCAGTTATATGTTTAAAACCAGGTTACATTTGGGATGTATTCATCGTTTGAAGTATACTGAAGCTTGTACATTTCCACTAAGCTTGATTGTCACATTTTCTTCCATGCACCTTTTTCTATCCACTGCTGCGAAGTGTCCCAAATTGAACCGACACACGTCTATGCGAGATTCTACGTGAATTTTTGTCGCCCGTATTCGTTATGTAACTCAAATTTCCTGCAATATTGATTGGTTGAAAGTAGGGAAATGTTGACAAGCACGCCATGCTTGCTAGTATTCATAATCTCTAAAAAATTTTAGTATTTCGTCTAGGACTCTCCTGTTTCACACAACGCAGCATTTATCTCTTTCACTGCATTATATGGTCTGTGGTTACTCACTGTTGAACCATTAGATCAGGCAAAACTATACGTCACTAGAGTACAGGCAGTATCTTTTTGTGTGAAACCATTAATTGGCCTAATCTTTTTTGTCACAATTTACGCTCGAACCTGAAACGATGCAGAGCAATAGAACCTGACAGCTTGCCACCTGAAGTTTTCAAGGATGAAGGTAGGAAATAGCTAATTAAGGTGACCCAGGTACTAGGTAGTGTATGGGAGTCAGAGGTAGTGCCGTCAGATTAGTGTACTTCACTGATCATTTCTGTCTATATGAAAGGGGAGAAATCTCCTTGTGACAACCACAGGGGAGATAGTTTGACTAACATTGTGTTCAAGGAGTGTGAAGACGATGTTTTCCTACTGGGTGAAAATGCTGACGGGATTCGGGTCTTCTGAACGCGTTGAGCAGAAATCTGAGTGTTTGGCTAGCATGCATTTCGCTGCCACCTGTCAAATGTAAGATGATGCTCCAGGACAGGAAGTGGAGTGGTATAATGCATCTACTACTTCAGCTACTACGGGGTTTTGTATCAGCTTGAAAGGGCTAGTTGCTGACGCAATCTTAGCTCGGATACAGAAGGCCACTTCTGCATTTGCCAACTTGTGACGCCTGTAGAGTACCCCCTGGTGAGATGTTCGATTATTTGTCGAAGCAGGAGTATGCTGCGCTGCAGTTTATTCTGTCCTGTCGTACTGCTGTGAGACATGGCTGCTGAAATCAGAAGACATGAGGAGGTCTTGACCACACGTCTTACTAGCATTGCTCACGTTTGGTGGAAACACTGTGTATGCTATGTTTAAGTCAGGTGAAAAATGCTAATCAAGACAAGCAAGTCAGCCGATGAGGTTGTAGACCGTAGTCGACTGAGTTGGCTTGAACATGTACTATGCATGCTGAGCCACCAGCTACCATAACGTTCAATGCTATACTATGCTAGAGGAAACTGGATTAGCTTTGGAGAGGGTTCAGGGTGGCCAGACCAAAACCGGGCACCAGTCAACGAAGTCCCTTACTGTTGGTTTGAGACGTGTGGCGTGATGTAGACCGCCTGGTTTAGGTGTGCAAGACGAGAGGAATTATTGGTTGAGGACTCTTGGTGACATGCATGCACATAGGTTATAATGGCACAGATGTATTTACACCTTGACATCTTTTAAGGCCGAAATATTCTCACCAAATTTTATATTCAGATTATCTATTTTCTCACACTAACTTATCTTCACTGATATCACCCTTCTTCTCCACACCCGTTCTTCGTGTACTATTGTGAAGTGTGGCAACTTGAGCCGATGAATCTGTCCGAGGTTTTATGTTGATCACGCAGTTATTTGTGAGCAAGGACGTGGAATAAAGAGCCATAGCCCACACTGTTGGGATGTAAGAAGTAAGCGAGTTGTTTATTTTTTTGGAAATAATGTCTTCTTCACAAGTTACCTGAAGGTGAATCATGAATTAGTAATAAGCTATACATCAGTCACCTAAAATGGACAGATGACATATTCTTACATGTTCAGCAAGAGTTAGGGAAAGAACAGAATGAAGCTAGGAGCTTGTGTGAAGTTTAATCGTTCACTTCCATGTGCTAGAAACGGAACATTAGGATTTAGTACTTCTCAGTGGTATTCAACGCATGCTGAACTGAGCAAAGTTCTTAGCAATCGAGCGGGAAGCGTGATGAATTCTCCTCAGCTTATGAAACAAGAAATACGTGGTGATCTGAAGACCATATAAATTACTGATTGCCTGAGACACTCATTGCCACAACGCCAACACATTCCTATTCATATGAGGTTACGTACAAAGGACTTGTTCACAGTGGTTATCATGTTATCTATATACTTATCCCATGCACCTGACATCTGAAAATTAAACGTAGTATCTACCTTTGAGCGTCAAAATTCAATGACTGACCACTCTGGATTGTTTATTTATCGGATTGAAGATCCATCAGCTTCGCTGATGAAGCGACTGAAAACCTTAATTTAACCCAAAAAAAAGAAAACTGTTTTGTCAAGGAAAGCATATGATATTAAGTAATTCATACAAATCTACTAAAAATAATGTTCTGAAAAACAGAACAGTAATGGAATTGCAATGCAAGTCTGATATATTACGGCTAAGAGGATTACCCGAAGACCAACTTGAAAACAATCATTGCGATATTGACTCCGATAAGGGGAACTAAAATTCAAATGTAATTAAATAATACGACCCACTTCTCATGACTGTACGCACAGAGTGGATAAATGTTAAAAGCTGGTATTTTACGGTCGTAGGCGAGCTGTATTCATTATCCATTCGAGCCCAGCCAACTAAGACATAAATTAAAAGCAAGTAAACCCACCCTTGGATAGGAACCGTTTCTCATGAAGAATACAAATGGCATTAAGAATGAGAACCAACGACTCAAGTAAACTGAAGAGACCGAAAGCCATGTAAACCTAGTAAACATAAATGTGCTTCCAAATAACCTTGGACGTTAGAATGACGTGTAGTTTCAAAGGCTTCCAACACCCGTCGTAGGAGTATACTGATCTACAACTCGTAGCATAAAATAGCTACCTACAATAAATAGCATATGTCAGGCTTTACATAAATGGGTAGTGAAATCCCCAATATATCTTTCAAAATCCAATGTCCAATATTGATAGTGAGAGCGTAAAAAACTGATAGTTTTTGATCTCTCGCGTCTAGTTCTTGGGACCTGGTTGGAGTTGTTCGGTTCACTTCTGCGGTGGACGAGGAAATCCCCTCTGCTCTTTTGCTTTCAGCTTCGGTGAGGTGGATGTTTTGTGGGTCAGTAAGTTAAAATTTGTAGAGTGATTGGGAAGCTACGGGTTGCTGGGAAGCTTCGGAGACCGCCGTGACTCTTGTCTGTGTAGGTACCTGAAACAGAGTAGTAGGGTAGTAGTAAAAGAAGGAGGAAGAAAAAAATAAGGGGAGAGGAAAAGGAAAAGAGGAAAGGAAAAGGAGAAGAAAAGCGGGGTGGAAAAGGGAAATAAAAGAGAGGGGGAAGTATGTGGGAATCGCCCGAATGGTAACTTGGGTTCCTACGGAAGAATTAGCAGGTAACGTGAATGTATTAAGGAGAGAGATACTGAGGGGTAGGTAGGAGGGAGTTGGGGGCTAGTGAGGTTGGTGACTGCCTGAGTATGTCCGTGGTAGATCATGAGAGAGGATATAACTGTCTAATCGTCTCTTGACTGAGTCGACTGAGGGGGTTATAACGATGTGTCTCGGTAAAGCACTCCATAAGGCATTTACTCTCGAGGAGAAAAATTAGACCTGAGTATGTTGTTGGCTCTCTGGCGTGCTATCTTAATGGAGTTCCGTTGTGAAGATAGTTGAGTTACAGGCAAAACTGATTTGTTTGCGTGGTCTGCCTGATGAATGATCTTGTATGCCATAATAAGGCCACCCCTCTTCCTGTGATAACCCAAGGTAAATAGATTTAGGTGTTTAAGTCTTTCAGGATACGTCTTTCCCCTTAGCCCCACAACTGATTTTGTTGCGGTTCTTTGTATTTTTTTCAAGGAGATTAGAGTCTCTCTTGAGTGTTGGGGGGCCACTGTATTGGAGACCCCTAGATGCGGCTACACGTAGGATTTGAAAATGGTGAGGAAGAGTCCGGGAGTGAGGGCGCCAAGCTGTCTACGCAAAAAGTGTAGAAAGGCATTCACTCTGGTTGTCATACCTTTGTAGTTGGAGCTGGTGTCTGGGGTGTCGGAGAAGTTGGGCCCCAAATCTTTCTTCATGGACACTCTGGTGATAGCACGGTTGCTCAACATGTACTGGAAGTCGGTCGTACTTGCTTCATTCTTACTGATGTGCATAACTCTGCACCTTTCCAGGTTGAAGCTAAGGCCACTTTCCTGCGACCATTGTTCGAGTTGCTGCAAGTCTTCTTGTAGTGCTGCGCAGCCAGCTCCCTCGTTTACCACCCCTCAAATTTTAATGTCGTCAGCGATGAGGTGGATGGGTGGGGACATTTCGTTTGGCATACCGTTGACAAACAAGAGGAACAGGAGTGGCCCCAGGATTGCTCCCTGGGACACTCCACTCCGACCTTACTCTGTTCACTTTGGCGCAGAACTGCCTCCCTTCCAGGTACCCCTTGAGCCAAGAGAGTAGGGGTCCACTTATACTAGT